ATAGGCCTGCAACAACAATGAGTGCAAAAAAAAGTGCAAAAAAAAAATAAAAAAAAATGGAAATCAACTGTAAGTACTATAACAGAGGCTAGTAGTATTATGCAATGTAAGTGAAGCAATGTATAAACAGGCGAATGTAATTTCAATGGAGATGTCCATCACATAACGTGCAATCTGATGTAGACAGTGGTTAGTTATGCCATGCAGGTATTTGAAGGCAAACAAGATTTTTATAACCTAAACATAGGTTGCAGATGTGTCATAGTGCATTTGCTGCCAACAGTGATGGGAAAAAGTGAGTCACTTCATGGGGAGTAGGAACATGCTGCGCTGTGTCGTTGCAGATAATAGGTTAAGGAGAGCAGTGTCAATTGCACCATAAGTGAGCTACCTCCGTGGTTGCCCCCATAGGCCTTCAAGCATGCCTGTCCTCCATCAGTCCTCCCTGGGGCTGACCCATCCCGCCGGTTTAGCGTTCTGTGGTGCCGTGGGCACTCAAAGTCCAAATCTGTCCCCTAGACCCTCCACACCTAGAGTCCAGGTTCTGACTGTCTCCTGCACCTCCCCAGCACCACTTCAGCCTCTGTGAAGCACTTGGACCCTCATGTCTCACCTGGCGCCGGCCACACACTTAGGACTGGGGCACCTTCCTCACGGTCACCGGTACACCGGAAAGGTCTGTGCGTTCCCGTCCCACAGGACTCACTGCGGCAGGGACAATCTCCCCTGGGCCACCCCCGAAACCCAAAGGCAGGGACTGGTACTTCTCCAGGGGGCAGGCCGCCCAGGGTATCCCTCTGCAGGGCAGCAGCTGTTGGGGCCATCGAAGCAATGCGGGGAAGCCGCTCCATGAAGGTGAGTCTCCCCTGACATGCTTGCATTGCAGTGTATTTGTGTAGCAGTTCCTTTTACTGGGTGGGAGGCCGCCAGCACTCCCGACCCCTTCTGATCCCCTTGGGTGTCGCCGAAGCAGGGACTCATGGGCCAGGACAACCCCCACCGGCCCGGGGGGGGGGAGCGGGGCCAGGCCCCCCCTTCAACATGTGATTGTGTTTCATCAGACCTCCGTCCTGTTGGTCTCCACAACTAGGCCCGGGTGCATGTGTCCGCAACGTGTCACGATCCACCAGCAACCGGCTTCGCCCGACAACAGGCGGGTTCCTCCTCGTGCACCTCACGTTTTCCCGGGTTCTGTTGGGCATCGGAGGTAAGAAAATTGCCTTTTTTTAGCGGCACGATGCAGGAGCTAGCGAAGATGGCTGCCGCTCCGCTCGGCGGCCCGGCCCCGCCCCCATGCTCTCATTCTGTGTATGTTACTTCAAACACATTGCCAAACTCACGATATCTCTCAAGAGACGACAATATATTCGGTGGCTTCGATTGAGATTTAGGGGATAGTATTTGATTCTTTTTACTGTCTCCAAGGTCTTCGTACTATGGGCAACATCGGATTTAAAAAAAAAATACTAGTACTCAAAATATAAGAGTCTTTGTGAGCCGGCAACACTTGCCAACAATTCCCTAAAAACAGCGTATATCTCATATTAATATTTTCTAGTTGGTAATTAGCTTATATTATACTAGCTTCCACTTGATATAGTATAGCAGTCAGGGCCGGACTGGGGAAAAAATTCGGCCCGGGCATTTTTAATTACAGCGGCCCACTGAAAAGGGGACGGGACCAGATAGGGTGTGTTTTGTCATCCCCAATGACAAGCACGCCCCATCTCAAAGTGAGCATGTTGGTTCAATGCTCTTCCAGGGCATGAGAAAAGGGCCCTGTATTTGATCTGCACAGCGCAAGCAAATTTAATAACATGCTTGCATTGTGTTTGCTTGAAACTTGTCTCAGGGTTTTCCATAATTGGAATACTCACTGTATCCCATTTATGGAGACACTATGTGTTTGCTTAAAGGATATCTAGTGTGTTCATAGGGGATCCTGAGTGTGTATGTCAGAAATGTAGTGTGTGTAAGTGGTGCAGCGTCTGTGTGTAGGGGATCTAGTGTGTGTTTGAAGGACTCCGGAGTGCGTATAGGAGATCTAGTGAGTGTGTGACTGGTGCTGTGTGTTTGGGGGGTGCTGTGTGTGTGAGGGGTGTAGTGTGCATTTGTGAGGAGTATAGTGTGTGTGGGAGGGTGCAGTATGTGTGTGGGAGGGTGCTGTGTGTGAGGGCACTGTGCGAGGGTTCTGTGTATTTGAGGGTGCTGTGTATTTGAGGGTGATGTGTGTGTGTGTGCTAGGTTGCTGTATGTGTTAGGGTGCTGTGTCAATGTTAGGGTGCTGGTGTTAGGGTGCTGTGTGTGTGTGTGTGTGTGTTAGGGTGCTGTGTCAATGTTAGGGTGCTGTTGTTAGGGTGCTGTGTGTGTTTTAGGGTGCTGTGTGAGTGTTAGGGTGCTATGTGTGTGTTAGGGTGCTGTGTGTGTGTTAGGGTGCTGTGTCAATGTTAGGGTGCTGGTATTAGGGTGCTATGTGTGTGTTGGGGTGCTGGTGTTAGGGTGCTGTGTGTGTGTTAGGGTTCTGTGTCAATGTTAGGGTGCTGGTGTTAGGGTGCTGTGTGTGTGTTAGGGTTCTGTGTCAATGTTAGGGTGCTGGTGTTAGGGTGCTGTGTGTGTTAGGGTTCTGTGTCAATGTTAGGGTGCTGGTGTTAGGGTGCTGTGTGCGTGTTGGGGTGCTGGTGTTAGGGTGCTGTGTGTGTTAGGGTTCTGTGTCAATGTTAGGGTGCTGGTGTTAGGGTGCTGTGTGTGTGTTAGGGTGCTGTGTCAATGTTAGGGTGCTGGTGTTAGGGTGCTGTGTGTGTGTTAGGGTGCTGTGTCAATGTTAGGGTGCTGGTGTTAGGGTTAGGGTGCTGTGTGTGTGTTAGGGTGCTGTGTCAATGTTAGGGTGCTGGTGTTAGGGTGCTGTGTGAGTGTTAAGGTGCTGGTGTTAGGGTGCTGTGTCAATGTTAGGGTGCTGTGTGAGTGTTAGGGTGCTGTGTCAATGTTAGGGTGCCGTGTCAATGTTAGGGTGCTGTGTGAGTGTTAGGGTGCTGTGTGAGTGTTAGGGTGCTGTGTGTGTGTGTTAGGGTGCTGTGTCAATGTTAGGGTGCTGGTGTTAGGGTGCTGTGTATGTGTTAGGGTGCTGGGTGTGTTTGCCAGGATTTTGTATTGGGGTAGGCAGGTAAATGGAACTATTAATGTTTTACTAAAAAATAAAAATAAATACATAATAATAAATAATAATAATAAATAATAAAAATAAATACATAATAATAAATAATAAAAATAAATACATACTAATAAATACTAATAATAAATAAATAATAAATACATACTAATAAATACTAATAATAAATACTAATAAATAATAAAAATAAATACATACTAATAAATACTAATAATAAATACTAATAATAAATAATAAATACATACTAATAAATACTAATAATAAATAATAAAAATAAATACATACTAATAAATACTAATAATAAATACATTATATCCCCCCCACCCCCTCTATTCTTACCTGTAGTCTGGAAGGGGGGGGGGGGTCGTGCTCCTGCCAGCCATCCCTGGTGGTCCTCGTGGTTAGTGAACTCTAGCCCTTTGGGGCTAGAGTTCACTCTCGCGAGACCCGGCCGGTTGCCATAGCAACGGTCCGGATCTCGCGAGAGAAACCCGGCGGAGCTGCAAGTTAGAGTTCCGCCGGATCCTCTCTCCTGGCGGCTGGCTCCCTCCCTCTCTCCCCGCCGGCGGCCGCGTTTGAATGCATGTGGGCCGGTGAGGGAGATCTTTGATCTCCCCACCGGCCCTTCATGGAACACAGCGGGGCCGGCGCTCGGATAGTGCCGGCCCTGCATAGACCGGCAGGGGAGATCCTGGGACCTCCCCTGCTGGCCTCGGCCCATGGCCACCGCGGCCCACCGGGCATTTGCCCGGTGTGCCCGATGGCCAGTCCGGGCCTGATAGCAGTGCAACCTCTGATCATAAAGCTCACTAAGGGTTAAAATCCCACTCAATGTCAATGGTTAGCATTCATTTTACAATCCCCTACGTCACTGTCTATACACAAGTACTCACAATATAAGAGTTTTTGTGAGCCGGTAACACCTTGCCGACAATTTTCTAAAACTTAGTGTATATCGCATATTAATATTCTTTAGTAAGGAATTGGCTTACACTATATTAGTTCTCACTCGATATAGCATAGCAGTGCAACCTCTGATCAAACAGCTCACTAAGGGTTAAAATCCCGTTCAATGACAAAGTTTAGGGTTAATTTTACAATCCTCCACGTCACTGTTTATAACGTTTCCTATTGGTCTCCTAGATAATGACGATTTTTGAATCCACCTATCAGAATCGCTATCTCCCTTTATAATTTCAGTCCTTTTCCTGCACATCAGGGGCACTTGGGGACCTAGAGAATTTAAGATATATTGAATTTTTATTTAGAATGAATAATTTTCAGTCTCGGTTCCTGAGCATTTTTTCACCGTCATTGCAATTTATAGGAACTTGGGCTATTTTAACATTTGGAGCAATCTCTCTAATTTTTGCTATCTGCACAGTACCAATAGCCCTCCTATTGTTCCCACAGCAATAACGGTCTCTCTCCTTTTTCTACAGAGGTGGTCTCATTGCGCTTTCCTCTACATTACGTTTAGTAATTGACTATTCTAACAAGAGTATACATCGGTCTACACATTTTATTTTCGACTATCCACCAGAGTTATAGTTCGAGTAGGGAAGCCAATATCTATTCCTGTCTCTAGCTGTTACAGTACTGTTATTTTGTGTGTAATTACCGATGGGTTACTTTTAATATACAGTGATTATCTTTGTATCATTTTCTACAGCTACAGTTATTTGAACCGGCCTCTGTGGATTGCAAAACTTTGTTTTGCACACTTTACTGGGAATAGGTTTCTGAGAACTTCTGAACAGAACCTCCCAATGATGTACTAATTATTTAGATTGTACATTTGTATTAGGCTTTTGAGTTAATATACATTCTTTGCCTTGTTTTAACCCTTTATTTTGACCTCTGCCGACAAATATGATTTAGGGTTTATCTCAGCGCTGCCTATTTTCTGATTGACAAGCTATCAATCAGATTACCAACATATCGGCTTATCACCATACTTATAAATATTGACGTACATATATTTTAGTAATTAGATATCTCTTCCCTACGATTTCACTTTTTAATATTACTATTAAAAGTTATATTTTATTAGTTAGGTCACTAATTTCTTTGTTTATTTATCGCTTTAGACCATATGAATTTTGTAATAATGGATTTAACTGCGATGAAGAATTTGTTAGGAATTACGATGGGGAGTGTCTGTAGGAGGTATAGTAGGCGTGGGAGAATGTTCATCTTGACTATATTGGTTCTGCAGAACCAACCGAAACATGGTTTGTGCCATTTATGAAGATAGTTAGAGATATTTGTTAGCAGTGGGGGGAAGTTTAGTTCATATAGTTGGTGTAGTTTAGTTGGAATTTGAATTCCTAGTTATTTAATTGTTTTAGGTGCCCAGGAGAAATGGAACCTCTCTTGCATTTTTGTATCTAGGAGATCGCATTTGGTGAGATTTTCTCGGAAGTTGGAGACCTTACTATATAGGTCCATCTCCGCTCTGATATTTGGTATTGTGGATAATGGGTTGGAGATGGTAAAAAGAAGGTCGTTTGCAAAGGCTGAGATTTTATATTCCTGGCCACCTATTTCTAGGCCATGAATGTGCTTGTTGTCTCTGATTCCTTGTAGGAAGGGTTCTAGTATTAGGATAAATAGGAGGGGTGATAGGGGTATTTTTAAACCTTTGCCCCTCTAATTTAAGACTATGTTCTCTTGTTGTGGTAGTTTTTCTTCTTTTAAATATAATCTCCTCCTTTACTGTGTTGATTCCCTTTATGTATTTAAATGTTTCTATCATATCCCCCCTGTCTCGTCTTTCCTCCAAGCTATACATGTTAAGATCCTTTAACCTTTCCTTGTAAATTTTATCCTGCAATCTATAAATCAGTTTAGAAGCCCTTCTCTGAACTCTCTCTAAAGTATCAATATCCTTCTCTCCAGTACTGCGTACAATACTCCAAGTGAGGTCTCACCAGTGTTCTGTATAATGGCATGAGCACTTTTTGGTAGCTGCTTCTGCAAAGGAAAGGTTGCCCAGGCTTCATCAAGAGCATCTTAAATTATATAAGTAATTTTAGTGCATAATATAGAATTCAAAACAAATCATTGTACCACATACAAACATATTAAAAGTACTTGAGACCTATTTGTTAATTTGAGGTATTTTTTTTTTAATCTAATAAAATGAAATTTATACAGTCATTAATATCAAACCAGTTGCTCAACAAATGGGATGAAATAAAGCTGGATTCCCCTGGTTCCCCAAAATGATTATTGTTGTCGAACTGGTGACTCAAAGACCATACATATGGTATCTACAATGTGTTTGTAAACTCTATTCTGTCACACACAAATGATTGATGTAAAATATACTTAGATCAATGCCACATACATGTCATGTACAACACTTTTTATGATTGAATTATCACCTTTCCATGGAAGGGGCTCTGGAACCCTACATGAATAAATTGATAGGAACAATTATATCACATTATAGATAATAGAAGTACCTATGGCAGAGTAATCCTTAATAATTCCAGGATGACCGGCTACTTTGTTGGCATTAAACAAATAACAGTGCCTTCTTTCTCATAGTAGGAGTCACGTATAATTTGTCAGGGGGCTTCTCTGGTGGAGCAGCAATGAATTCTCCTGAATGGTATCACGGAGGTGAGAGCAAATGGCGGTCTTTGTAGAAGGGCACCTATAGATGTGAATTATAGTATTACCTTGTTGATAGCCTCAACATGTCTAAACAAGGCATTATTCATCTAAAAAAACTAAGCCTCAGTGTAAACTCTTCTACTTCTCCATTACATGAAATTCATTTTACCCTTACTTTTTGTGTCTTTTTACCCCACTCACCTAGAATGTTAGCTCGTTTGAACAAGGTCCTCAGCACTTGTTGATCCTGTATGTCCATCTTGTCTTGTTGCAACGACTTGTCTGTTTGTCCACCTATTGTACAGCACTGAGGAATTTGTTGGCCCTTTATAAATAATAATAACTACTATCGACAAGATACTTTAAACCAAAAGAAATGACCATACAAATGGTGAATAGAGGAAAGAACACAAACTGGTGAACTGCAGCCACTCAAGGGACAACTCCCCAGAAATCCCCAAACAAACAAACCATTACAAAATGTAAGAGGCTGCCATGCACCAGTTTTAGATATAATGCATACCACATTAGCAAAATCAATAAAGAGTGAAAAATAACAAAATATACATCAAGCTTTATTAATTTTGCTGATGTGGTATGTATTATGTTTAATTTTGGTACTTTGCGCCCTTTTATATTTTTTAATATTATTATTATTATTACTGGTATTTATATAGTGCTAGCATATTCTGTAGCGCTTTACATTATTATCAAAGGGGGAGATTTAACAAGAAACGAGACAATTACAAAAACTTACAGGAACAATAGGTTGAAGAGGGCCCTGCTCAAACGAACTTACAGTCTGTAGGAGGTAGGGGGTAAAACACAACAGGACAGGAGGTAGCAATCAAATAAGGTGGGAGTGAAGCAGAGGAGAGAACAGAGTTCTGCTCTTTAGGTGTGAGCAAGGGATGGGTATGTGACATAGAGGTTACTCTGGGAGACCATAAGCTTTTCTAAAGAGATGGGTTTGAGGTACTTTTTAAATGATTGAAGACT